AGATTACTTTTCATGTGGGCATTTTTGCGGATTTTTATTTAGGTTTTTTATTAGTGTTGCTTGTTGTATTTTTGCGGATTTTTATTTAGGTTTTTTATTAGTGTTGCTTGTTGTAACTAGATATGATTATTGACTCATTAGATTTTCTTTAACTTTTTGGATGTATTACTTTTCTATTTGAGAGAGCATTTGATTCTCTACGGACCTGATGTAACTTTTTCTTAATTAATGCATAGGCTCCTCTATGGGGTTTATCGAAAAAAAAAACTATGATTTAGGTTATAATACCCTATATTGAACGATACTACACTTGAGTTAACCCGATTAGCTTTTTTGAACTATGGTTGACCCAAGAGATTTATAATGGTGGTTTGATAGTGACCATCTTCAAGATTATATTGTATCAATGATCTTCATGTCATAAATGTATAAAAGGTCACAAGATGATCAGATAATACTATTGTGGTGTTCTTATAGAGAGCTTTTTAGTGGCCCACTCTACCTCCTCTAACAGTTAGAGGATTGGCGTCTACCAAAACAAAATGCCTTGCCCTTCCTCAGAAGCAGGTGACAAGCCATGCGTGAGGAAGAAATAGGTCAAACCATACCAACATAGCCTAGTATGACTCAAATGATTCACTTTGGTTCCATCTATTTAAACTTTTTTTGTCTGGAATCTTAAGTTATTTGGGAGTCAATGGGTTTGACTTAGGCTTTGGTTGGGACGGCTTTCTAATTGCTTCTTAAAGCTGCTTCCTAGTATAAAAATTAAAATTTTTGTATTGAGAAGATGTTTTAAGAAGCAGCAAAAAAGTTGTCCCAAACGAAGCCTTAGCCTTCATTTGGGACGGCTTTCTTATTGCTTCATAAAGCATATTTTTAGTGAAAAAAATTTTAATTTGTGCTAAAAAGTTGCTTTAAAAAGCAGTCCCAAATGAAGTCACTGGCTTTAATTTTTGTGCTTAAGCAAGTTTTTAGTAGAAATTTTTCTTTTTCAAAAAATTTTATACTAAAAAATTGTTTTATAAAGCAATACTAAAGCTGTCCCAAATGAAGCCTTAACGAGGAAAACCTTTTATTTTTATTTTTTTTGGGGTTTTAGCCTTATTTAGTCAATTAATTAATTTTTTAAGATAAATTAGAAAGTAAGGCTTCGTTTGGGATGGCTTTTTTATTGCTTTCAAAAACGGAGTTTTAGTACAAAAATAAAAAAAATTGTACTAAAACTCCATTTTAGAAAGCAGTAAAAAAGTCGTCCCAAATGAAGTCTAAGTCAGCTCCCCTAACTTACTTTAAAGGTCAAGCATTATGTTAATAAAGTTGTTCTTTATTACATGTGTTTTTAAGAACATAATAGTTGCCTTTTATTTGTAAATGATTTGTGGGCTAAGAAAATGCTTTTAAATATTGTGAATGTTTATGTTATGAAATTATAATCTAGAAATAACATTGAAGTGCAATTGCAATACTTAGTTTTTTGTAACCAATCTAAGTCTTACAAACGAGTAATTATTACATTCGGACAAAAAATCGGAAATCCTGACGTATACCGAGTTTCAGGTGACGTGGTGCGTGATTATTGGTCTCTGGACGCGTCCGGTGACCTGGCGTGATAATTGCTCCAAACGAGTAATTATTATTTATTCTTGTGACACTTTTTTGTGTTTTCACCTAATGGATCGTCTAACAATAGCACTTCTATTGGCTTAAAGTCCTCTCCATTATTTACTCAAAGCTCATAATTGAGGCTCATAACCATCTCTATCTCTCTTTCCATTCTGGAGATAAAACATGATATCTTCTCTATTTCTAAAAATTCAGCTCTAAAACCTCACAAATTTACTTCAAAATTGCTTACATCTTTTTGCATTATAGTGGATAATTCAACCTTCTTCACAGTTTTTTTTTTTCTTTCAAGGAAGCTTTGTGGATGCTATGATAAGCTCGTTATCAACTCCTTAAAAAACAAAAATCCAAGGACAACAATGACTGAAGATCTAATCTCAACAAATCATATACTGCTGGCCAAAGCCAAATAGCTTTCTCAAGTTGAAGATGGACCACACTTCCTTTATGGGAGAATAAAGGGAAGAAGATATTTATAATTTCATCAAAGATTTCTCTACACCATTTGGGCTTTCTTATTAATTTTTAGCTTAAGAAATTTTTTTACTAAAAAAATATTTAACTTAAGAAAATATTTACTAAAATTTTATTTTAAAAAATAATTAAAAAAACTGTCCTATAGTAAAATTTTCTTTACAACCTTTTGGAGAAATTAGGTTTTCTTGACAGCTAAACTTTTTTTTTTTTTCATTTCAGAAGAGCTTTCAAGAATTGTTAAGGCTATAATAATCTTATAGCCTCAAATTTTCTCATGCAAGCGCACAGAATAATTTGCCTTTTATTTGAGGCCCATCTCTCTATGTAATCCTCGTGGTCACTATCTATTCCGTTTCAGGTCCAACCTATGATCTCATATGATGAAGCTACACCTGCTCTCAGTCCTCGCAACAGTATGTTTTTGGTCTTTTTTTTTTGGAAAAATTTGGGCATAGCCCGTATATTAAAAGAATGAGTTCCAAAAAAGGTCATAAAGAACCCAAAACTCAAAACTCAAACAAAAAGGAGCTGAGAAAGGAACACTGTTAAAAACAACCTTACAAATACTCCAAAATAAAACACATCAAAAAGAAACATAATATGTCCAGTAATGGACAGAGGGCTCAAGTAAAATCTAGAACCAACTGAATCAGGCAAAAAATAGCCTGGAACTGATCTGTCTCGAGTTGAACCTCTAGTTGCCAATCGAACAGTCGATTCTGCAGGGTGCAAAAAATGCCAGGCCATATGCAGAATAATCAGAGAAGAAGAGCAGGATGCGACGGGCATCCAGGAGGCGTGAAAGCAAAAACAGCTGGTTCCAATCATCATTGCCCAGTCAGCAAAACGCACACCCAGCCACAGATCAGAATTTGCTATTAAAACAACTAGGAAAAGAGGAGAGAAGCAGCTCATAGTTTTTCCATTTGGACACCTTTGCACGTACAGTCATACAGATTTTGCCACGAACAGAGAAAGCATCAGCTTGATGTCCAACAAAACATCTCTCGTTTCTTTCTCTCCAGAGGTAATAGACCGCACAACAAATAACCCAAAAACAAAAATTCTTCTCCAAAGCATTATAAGAATGCAAACCATCAAAATGTTCAAATAATTGCAGCATCGATAGCCTAAATAAAAAATCTTCCAACTTTGGAAGAAGAGAAGATAAAATTGCAAAAGAGTAATTGCATTGAAAGAACAGGTGCGAACAACTTTCATTTTCCAAAATGCAAAGGGGGCAAGTTGGGTTAATGTGAGTGTTTCTCTTATAAAGCTCATCGGCTGTTTTTAAACCACCGCAAACAACCAGCCAGGTGAATGAAGAATGTCTTAGGGCAAACCTTTTGTGCCAAATGTGTTTATGCCAAGAAACAGTAGCTAAATCAGAGAAATAATGAAGTCTAAAAGTTTTGAAGCAAGCCTTTCCAGTCCCTTTCCAAGAAATGATTTCCGCCGAGTTTTCAATAGGGACAGCAAGAATATTACTCAAATTCAGATTCAGATGGTGTTGAAGGTTCATAAGATTCCAGTGCCCCTGACTAATAAAATTTTTAACTCCAACATGTCCAATGGGGGGATGCATAATCATCTCAGCAAGAGCTGAGCCATTGACCCAAGGGTCCCAACAAAATGAAAGATTACAACTATGCTCAGTCATGTGTAACCTAATATAATGTTTAATGCTAGCAGCAATAAAGCAAATAAATTTTCAGAATTTTGAAGCTTTAAAGGGTGGTTTTTTCCAGGGAGAATTTTATTTGTAGCTCATCCAATCGGCAACTTGAGAATTTGTGTTAAACAATCTCCAAATGAAAGTGCAACGAAAACCATGGTAAAGGGAACCAATGTCAGGAATTCCAAGACCACCCAGAATAGTAGGCAAGCAAGTTTTAGACCAGGCAATGAGATGGAGCTTTCTCTCAGTGGTGATTCTGTGAAAGAGAAACCTAGAGCAGAGTCTGTTGTTTAGATTTGCAACAAGATTTTGGTAAAATAGCGCCCCTAATCCAGTAAGCCAAGGTGTTGGCTATAAAAAACTTGAGAAATTAAATTATGCCTGCAAAAGACAGAAACTTTACTTTCCACCCAGCAAGTAGAGAAACAAGCTTACTCAGTAGTGGGTGGAAGTGAGTAGAAGAAAACCTTTTAGTGGAAATGAGAATGCCCAGATATCTCATAGTGTGTTCAGTAATGGAGAAACCCAATATCTCTTATATTTTGTTGGCTAACAGAGTATTATTAGAGAAGATAATGGAACATTTAGTCTTGTTCGTATTATTAGAGTATTATTTTTGATCTTTTCACATCTCATTTTCTTTTTGCTGGCCTTTCAGAGTTTGTACAGTTTTTTTTTTTTAACATTTAGGTCAATTAAGTCAAATTCACACTATATATTATTCCAGGCGATATCCGGACACATCTATAGGCAAATCTGGACGCATCACGTCATCCAATGTACTATACATTGAGTGACATGACATAGTACATTGGGTGACGTGACACATCCGGATTAGCATCCGAACGCGTCCGGATACCACACATAATAATTTTTCAACTCACACAAGACATGTGCAAGACTTAAACCCAAAACTTTTTGGTTGATAGCCAAAGCTCCCAACCAACAGCTCAAGATGAGCTACACATGTATTTGTATAGTTATTAATTATATATATATATATATATATACATATATCCAGCTTCAGTCTTTGTAGCCTCTTCTTTTTCAATATTCCAAGAAAAAGAAAGGAATATTCTAAGAAAGTGCTGAAGCATTTCAGCACTAAATTTATGCCAAGATTCTGCACTCACACTAGATTTTCATCAATCTTTATTTATTTACTGAGAAACCATCTGTAGCTTAAATAAATGAAACTCCCATCTTCAGCTAGCTCAAGTTGAAAGAAGAGTGGATATTTTTGTTGACTAATCAGAGAATAAGGATAAATTCTTTCAACTAGTCAATGAGTCTTTATTCTAGTTGACTAATCAGAGAATAAGGATAAACTCATGGAGCAACTGATCCCATCACCACTTCATTTTTCTCTATAAGACACTAAAACAACTCCATATAATAGTTGCAAAAGCTTTGCTTAGTTAATGATCAAAGCAATAAAACAAACACTAATTCCTTTATTTCCATACCTCTAAGTATGTTAGTTTTGGATTCTGATTGAGCTTATTAGAGAGGTTTTGCTCGAGTAGCTGGATCTTCCTTGGATTCCATATGCATCATGAACAAGTAGCCAAGTATCCAAAAGAACACGTAAGGATAAGGAACAAAAGATAAGCATGCCAAGAGGCTTAGTATACTGCCCACATACTGAGGATCCTTTATGTAGCCAAAGGGGAAATCAGATACCCATGGGATGTTCTTTCCAAAGCGAACTCCGTAGTATGTTCCAGCCTCGCCAAGTAAATGATACACCCTGCAAATTTTGAATAGATTTAGATATAAGAGTTTCTAACAGGGGGGGAATTTCAAGCAAAAAAAGCTTAGTTAATGCATATGAAGCTCCCATGGTCGGTATAGGGAATCACTGTGTTGACCCTTATCATTATATTGAAAAGATGTTGTGACTGGAGCTCGGATATAACTTAACTATTGAACTGGGACGGAACCCTTAAGTGCTCGGCAGGGGAGGGGGCAATTGCCCCCCCTAAAACAAATAAAAATTTGTTTATTACATGAAACCCCGTCAGGGCTGCCCCTTGGACACCCAACACATTGTGTAGAGGTGTTACCTAATTTTTGTTTAAGAATAATTATCATTATATAAGATGTTGATGATATTTTTAAAATGTATTATGTATTCAAATACAAATAATCATTAGTCACTAAAATGATATATATAAAAAAAAATATCTATACTTTTGCTTATAAGTTTGCCCCCCCTGAAAATTAAGGTCGATTCCGCCCTTGCAACTACACCACGCTCATTAAGCTCATGTTTTGTAAATTCTAGCTCATTAAGTTGGTTGTTATGCATATATTAATGCCGCAGTTGGGTATTTTAAACGAAAATTTTATAAACTTTTAGTGGAAGTTATGAGATCAATAAAATCTTCTATTTCTGAGGAATTTAGATGATGCTAATAAATTGTTCGTTTTTCTTGTTTAAAGGAAGATGATGTCCATGGCGATTTAAATTCAGGTGTGACTGTTATTTCATGGTTTATTGACAATATGGAAGGAGAAAACAAAAACCCAAGGGAGCATCCTAAGCATATCCGTGAATAAGTAAAAGGTGGAAATTCGAATGATCGTATCATCTATTAAACTGAGACTTCATTTGAAACGGCTTTCTTACTGCTTCTTAAAGTAGATTTCCAGTAAAAAAATTAATTTTTTGTACTAAAAAACTGTTTTAAGAAGCCATAAGTAAGTCGTCTCAAATGAACCCTGAAATAATAGCGTGAAAATAAAGATAAATAAGGAAACAAGTGTAAACATTACTAATATCTTGAAAAGGTTCCTACCAGCTCATCAAGGTCCCAGCCAATGAGGAGAAACAACTTGGATGACCAGCCGGGCAAGTGATAAGAGGGCAGGCCAAATCAAGTAAAAAATTCAGCCCAACTGTTCAAGCCTGACTGATCGATTCATCCTTCCTTAACAGTGCAATTGCTTCCTATATGGGATTCAAGGGAACATCATCCACTGTTGCAGGCCACCCATTGTTTACTTCCTCCATGGATCACTCCATGTTCCACTATCACCACCTAACTTCTTCCAACCTAGCTCATCTTTGAAACTGGCAGCGAGGCAGAAGCCTATTGTTAGGCCCCAATGACTCCATTTCAAGGAATAGCCACCTTGAATTGATTCCTAGATATCCAAGATGAGTTAGTACGTACCTTTGATGCACCGACACGAACACGGCGACATGGACACAACACGACACGGACACGGCATTTTTAAAAAATATCGGACACTGGTGCGGCGTGGACACGGCATAATAAATTTTTAATATAATATATAAAAATTAAGATGACATTATATTAAAAATGACAAGCAATAATAAATCAATTTCATGATAACTTGTTTAGCTTATAACATAAAGATGTTTAGTACAAAATATCTAGTATAATCACAAAAATTTAAGCAAAAAATCATTTAATACAACATGAAGGTCTAACTACTTAATAGAGGAAATGATAGAATTAGATTCAGAGGTTGGTCTTTGGCCTTCAATATCATCATCATTGAATATCATTGCTTCCAACTCTGGTTCATCTAGAGAAAGATTTGTAACCTCCAATAATCCCATATCATCAAGGCACTCGAACCCATCTCCAGCAACATCCCACATCTTATTATCACTTGTCATATAAAGTGGGGTTTTCCTTGATAGAAGACAAATTTGTATGCACATAAACTAAATCTTCAGCACGTTATGGAGTTATTTATTTATGTTCATTGATTAAATAAATGAGTATGTGCTCCAATTTCTCTCACAACAGGAAGAAGATGATACTTGATCAAGAAGTTTTATTGCTATTGTTTGAAGAAGCGATGCTGAAGCTCCATGAATAAACCACCACCTTTTTGGATCCATCCTCCATCTATCAACCAAAAATTCTTGATCACTAAAATCATCTAAATATTCAAAGAACTTTGCAAGTTCTATATTAATTTTTCTTCTCTCCTCATCATTTGGAAAATATCTTTTCAGGTATAACTTTCTCATATTTGAAACTTCTAAATCTTTTTGTGGTGAGACAAGTTGAGGATCTTCTTGAATTCATTTTTACTTGAATACCTTCAAATAATATAAAGCATATAAAATTATATGTTCATTTACCAAGAAATTTAAATTAATTTAAAAGATGAATACAAATATATCTTGGATTTAATAAATGAGCTAAACAATACAGAGGTGTGTTGCTTTTGCTCCACCTATCTTCAAGAATGATATAGACAACGCTCCAAAAACTTGAGTCTTCTTCATGTGACTTTCTTTCATGTATGTAAATAATTTATTTCACTTTTGCTAACATAGAGTCCCACATCTCATAAATCAAATGTATGCATGATTTATTAGTGTCAGCATTTCTCAACATGTCATAAATTAGATCAGTGAATGCAAAAATATTAGGGTAAGAGTAATTTTGAAGTTATGTTTGTTTTTAAAGTTCGTAAGTTATTTGTATAGAAAGATACCGAGCAGTACCGAGCATGTACCTAGCATTACCAAGCATGTACCTAGCAGTAACGAGTGGTACCGAACATATACTGAGCGGTATCGAGCATGTACTGAGCGGTACCGAGCAAATACCTAAAGGTACCGAGCATGTATTGAGTGGTACCGAGCATATACCTAGTGATACCTAGCGATACCGAGCAAGTACATTAGCTTTTTCAATGGTGAAATCCACTTATAGGTCTTGGCTCTCTTGCGCGTAGAAGGTGCTATGTTTGGCGTTGATTGCGAACTTTGTCACGGCTGACCGCAGAAATCACGTAGGAACGAAGGAATGGGAAAGACGAGCTCGGTTTGGCCTCGACTCGAGCAGAAATGACGAAGGAACGGGAGGCAAAGGCAACGTGCTCCGTTTGGTGTCAACTGCAAGCTCGTCCGGTCTGCCTAGAAGATTTCTTTTGTGGATTGAAAAAATAGGGCTTCTCGTTCGCGGAAAAGTCTAAATAGAACAAATCGAACGATTTAATTATTTAATAACCAGACAAGCGTGTCGGACACCGTGTCCAGTTTTAATTTTAATTTTTTAAATTGCGCACTCCAATGCTGTGTCGGACACGTGTCCATGCAGTGTCAGACGCGTGTCCGTGTCTGATAAGTGTACGACAATGCATACCCTCTTTAAGTGGAGTGTCGGTGCATCATAGGTACGTACTTGGCCAGTTCAAATTGGTGCATGCTTGTTTAATCTATCCAAATATTAAACTTTGCATTTGTGCCAATAGTAGATTCTTCATAGCATAAATCTCAAGGTTGAAGTAATGGAATAATTCACACATCATATTAATGAAGGGGTGAATTAAACATTCACATCGATACTATGCTTCTTCAGGCCCAATTAGCAGACTCTCATATAAAGTAATTGGGGGTATACTTGTCAATGGCGAATGGCAAACCACGGCGCAAAGTTTCCGATGGAGTCATGACGCATAGTGCACAGCGCAGCACGCCCCATTTTGAATACGACGCAAAATTAAAAAAAATTATTATATAGATCCTATTTTAGAGTATCAATCAAGTTAGGTAAGGTTTTGTTGAAGATGTTTGTGGTCCAAAATCCAAACCATTGAAGTGAGCTTCAAGTTCGTCTAAAATTTCTACTAAAATAAAGTCTAATAAAACCTAACTAAACTATTTTAATCATATCAAATAATTTTAAAATTAATTATTACATTATTTTAGAAACTAAAATATATAAATATTAAAATTACTTATAATTATATTAAATTTTCCTAAAATTCAAATTGTGCACACCGTACGCTATTGCGCCATTACGCACACATGGCGCAAATGGTGTGCAATGGCACGCGCCAGTTGAACATGTGCGCCGCATTATGCGCCATGGCGCGCGCCATTTTGCGCCATTAACAAATATGATTGTTGGTCTCCTTAGGAGCTTGAAAAATACCTAGAGTGTGTGTCATTTAAAATGCTACCCCACATTCATCATGTGATCGAGTTGACATAATCATCACTCCATTGGATAATCCCAAAAGCAAATATGTAATTTTCCAAAATGACCTTAACTAAATTAGATTGTCCCAGAAATACATCCATAAGTTTCCAAAATGACCTTTCCTATCGGTACAAAATAGTCCTCAAAAGTATTTATTCCTCACACTCAACTTTTTATTTTTCTTCTTTCAACATTTCCATTCTTTATGTAACTATGCAAGGGAGAGAGAACCTCTTTAACACCCAAAAAAATTCAATCATCACATATCTTAGCTCCATGGGTTACTTGGAGCATTAAGTACTCTATGACGGAATAACCAACTTATAACAATCCTATTATTTATTTCACTACTTGGTGTGAAAGTGGTACCAAAAAAATATTATTTCACTTCTGTCACTTGATCACTGCAAAAGAACATTTCCGGCACACAACAAAAATTAATAAGAAAACTCGAATATAAAACAAACTCAAGAGATTATGTCCATGAGCTATATCTTTAGTGATGGTCAAGCCCTTCTTAATAAATTGATCTACAAGTCAATCGAATAAAAAAACATAAAAGTTATTTCTTTCCTAAAAATAGCATTAGTTTTCTCATGATCAAACCTTCTTGCACACGGCAGATCCATTCCCCAATGAAAAAGGACATAAGCCATTTTCCCTTCTAGTAGCAACAATTGATTATTAAACTATCATTTGGCTATCCCATTAAAAAAAAAACATTCAATTGTTTGGATTGAAATAAAGGAGAGCAGATTTAACCCAGTTTATT